TAATGGAATATTACCCATAAAGAGAAATGAATTTCTGATACATGCTACGACATAGTTGAACCTTGAAAACATGCTCAGTAAAACAAGTCAGACAGAGAAGGACAAATACTGTATGATCCCTCTTATATGAAATATCTAGAATAGGTAAATGTATACAGACCAAAGTTTATTAGTGGTTACTAGGGGCAGAAGGAAGGGGAAGGGAGGGGAGTTGCTGCTTAGGGAACACTAGATTTCTGTTAAGGGTGATGGGAAAATTTGGAAACAGTGGTGATGGTTACACATGATGAATGTGATTAATGTCATTGAATTGTACATGTAAAATATGTTGCAATGGCAAATGTTCGTTATATTTTTTATTACAGTAATTTAAAAAACAGTGTGGTACTGGTATAAGGATAAACATATGCATCAATGGATTAGAATTCAGAGTCCAGAAATAAACCCGTACATCTATGGTCAGTTGATCCAAGGGTGCCAAGTCCATTCAATGGGGAAAGAATAGTCTCGTCAACAAATGGTGCTGGATCACGTGCAATAGAATGAAGTTGGACCCACACCTCACACTATATACAAAAAATTAACTCAAAATGGATCAGTGACCTAAATATAAGAACTAAACCGTAAAACTCTTAGGAGGAAACGTAAGGGTAAAGCTTTAAGACCTTGTTTTTGATAATCGATTCTTAACTATGACAACAAAAGCATGACCAACAAAAGACAAAATAGATAAATTGGACTTCGTGAAACTTAAAAACTTTTGTGCGTCAAGGACTATCAACAAAATGAAGAGACAACCTAGAGATTGAAATAAAATATTTGAGAGTCATAGATCTAATAAGGTTTTACTATCTGGTATATATAAACAACTTCTACAGCTCAACATCAAACATACCAACAATCCAACTAAATTGTCTGTTTTGGAGAAACAAACGTTTCTCCAAAGAAGATAGACAGATGGCCAACAAGCACATGAAAAGATGCTCAAAGTAATTATTAGTCACTAGAGAGGTGCAAATAAAACCATATTGAGATACCACTTCACCTCCACTAGGATGGCTATGATCAAAAAAACAGAAAACAAGGCAGGGATGTGGAGAAATTGGAACCCTCATCTGTTGCTGATGGGAATATAAAATGGTATAGACACTGTGGAAAACAGGTTAGCGGTTCCTCAAAAAGTTGAACATAGAACGACCATATAACCGAGCAGTTCCACTCCTAGGTTCCATTCAAGAGAATTGTAAGCAGAGACTCAAACAGATAATTATACTCCAATGTCCACTGCAGCACTATTCACAGGCCAGAAGGTGGAAACAACCTAAATGTTCATCAACAGTGAATGGATAAACTGTGGTACACCCATATAATGGAGTAATACTCAGCCATAAAGGGAGATGAAGTCCTGATTCATGCTACAACATGGATGAACCTGGAAAACATGCTGTGTGAAATAAGTCAGCACAAAAGGAGAAATATTGTGTGATCCCACTTGCATGATGTATCTAGAATAGGCAGAGGTATAGAGAAAGTTTATTAATGGTTACCAGGGGTGAGGGGGAAAAGAGGGAGCCATTCCTTAGGGAGCACTGAGTTTCTCTTAAGGGTGATGGAAAAAATTGGAAACAGGTAATAGTGATGGTTGCACAGCATGACGAAAGTAATTAATGTCACTAAATTATACGTGTAGAAAATGTTGAAATGGCAAAAGGTTTTGTTATATGTATTTCTACCACAAAAAAGAAAAAGGCTGTGACGGGAAATGGTCTGGGATTAAAAGTCACCTGATGTGCTGACAACTGGTATAATTATCAAAAAGAGGCTTGTAAAATACGTATCCATCATAGGTGCTGTGGCAGCAGTCTGTACAGGCTGCATACAGCGGGGGCACACATAAGGAAGCAGTCAGTTCTGTGTTGAGTGGTGATGGCTCAGAAAAGGTTTCACTGAGTCGAGGTTGAAGTCTAAGAAGCTAAATGGGTGGGTGGGAAAGGGCAACTCTGAGCAGAATGAGCAGTACACTCACAGTCTTGGGTTGAGGTGGGGGATGCTTCACTCTGACCTCAGCCATATATATATATTAGTATGCCCACTTCAAAATTTAATGTAATGTGAAAAAGCAATTCGAAGTGGATCAAGGATCTAAACGTGAGAACTAAAACCATAAAATTCTTAGAAGAAAACATCGGGCATGGCTCTGGGACCTAGTTTACAATGGAGTATCAGATATGACTCCAAAAGCATGAGCAGCAAAAGACAAAACAGATAAATGGGACCTCATAAAAATTAAATACTTTTATCAAAAGCCTTTATCAACAAACTGAAGACAGCCTACAACTGGGAGAACATTTTTGGGAACCATATATCTGATAAGGGTCTAGTATCAAAATATATTAAAAACTTCTACAACTTAACAACAAAAAATACACAAAGGACTTAAAGAGACATTTCACCAAAGAGGGTACACGAATGGCTGACAAGCACATAAAAAGACGGTCCATGTCATTAGCTGTTAAAAACCAAAAAACCAAACCCGTTGCTGTCCAGTCGATTCCAACTCATAGCAACCCTACAGGGAGATGCAGATCAGAACCACAATGAGATATCATCTCACCCCCACTAGAATGGCTGATTTATTTATTTTTAAAAAAAAACTGAAAACAACAGGTGTTGGCAAGGATGGGCTGAAATTGGAACCTTCTTCTATAGCTGGTGGAATACAAAATGGTACAGCCTCTGTGGAAAACAGTTCGGCGGTTCCTTAAAAAGTTGAACATTAAACTACCATATGACCCACCAATCCCAGTCCTCAATTCCACTCCTGGATATATACCCAAAAGATTTGAAAGCAGGAAAGCAAACAGAAACTTCTACAATATCATTAGTCATTAAAAAAACCAAATCTGTTGCTATCAAGCTGGTTCTGACTCATGGCAACCCCATGTGTTACAGAGTAGAACTGCTCTATAGGGCTTTCTTGGCTATGATCTTTAGGGAAGCAGATCTCAAGGCCTTTCTTCCATAGCACCACCGAGTGGATCTGAACCACCAAACTTTAGGTTAGTAGTTGACTGCAAACAGTTTTCACCACGCAAGGACCTCATTAGCCATTAAAAAAAGACCCATTGCTGCCAAGTTGATTCCAACTCATAGCAACCCTATAGGATAGGGTAGAACTGCCCCATAGGGTTTCCAAGGCTGTAATCAACAGAAGCAGACTGCCACATCTTTCTCCTGCGGAGCGGCTTGTGGGTTTGAACCACTGACCTTTAGGTTAGCAGCCAAGTGCTTAACCACTGCACCACCAGTGCTGCTTCCATTAGCCATTAGGGAGATGGAAATCGAAACAACGATGAGATACCATCTCACCCCCACAAGTGTTGGCGAGGATGTGGAGAAATTGGAAACCTCATCCATTGCTGGTGGGAATGCAAAATGGAACAGCCACTGTGGAAAATAATGTGTCGGTTCCTCAGAAAGCTGAACATAGAACTACTGTATGACCCAGGAGTCTCAATCCTATGTATGTACCCAGAAGAAGGCAGGAAGGCAAATAATAGTACAAGGAGAAATTAAGTAGAAATCGTTAATTATAAAAGGCAAACTCTGGTTTTTGAAAAGATTGAAAAATAGGCAAAGATTTGTCAAGTATGACTTTTTACAGAGAATAAAAGTAGCATAAGGAGGGGGTATTTTACATATGGAGTAGTTTCTTAATTATGAGAATATTATGATCTTTCTGTAAATCCTAAATTGGGTCAAGTAGTAGAGAAGAGTCTAAATTAGACCAGTAATCATAAAGAAGTGTTCAGAGTTTGTGCCCAAAAAATGGACACCAGGCTCAGGCTGTTTTATGGGAGAGTTTTATCAAATCTTCAAGAAACGTAATTCCTATGTTACACAAAGTTTACTTTTACTAGTATATAGAAAATGGCAAGCCTTCCAACTATTATAATTTCATAAAGCCAGCATAGCCCTGCTCACAAAGTGGGCTAGGGGAGCACCAAAAAAAGAAAAAAAAACCCAAAAAAACTGTAGTTCAATATCACTTACAGACTTATGAATGTAAATCATATGTTCTTTACCCTAAAAATGCAATGATAGATCAAGATCGAAAAAGAAAACATGAACATAATTCAGTACTTGAGATCCTCTCTACAGTAGATTAAAGGAGAAGAGCCATGTAATCAGATCAATACATGCTCTGAAAGTATTCAATAAAATGCTGTATCCATTTCTGATGTAAATCTAAGAACAGTTATGAATAGAGGGATTTTTCTTAACATGATAAATTCTGCTTAATAGTGAAGTATCAGAAGCATTTCCACCAAAGTCAGCAACAAGAGGAGAGTGCCCTTACCCTTTGAGCACTGTACCGAAGGCCCTCGCTGACGCAGTAAGACAGAAAGAGCAACCCAGGTGTTCTACAGATAGATTGATAAGTAAAATACGCTTATCCCTATGGTGAAATACACTAGCAGCAGGTAAATGGAATAGAACTAAAAAAAATGTTCATGGAAAAAGCGATTGCAAAGTATGTTCAATAATTAACTTCTATGCTATTATGTAAATTTATAATGACAAAATACTTGCTTTTTGTTTGCATTCCATATATAAATTTTTTAAAGGCAGGAAAGATAACTCTTGAAACTTCCAACACAGGTGATCTCTGAAGATTGGGTAAGGCAAGCAAAAGAGCTTTGATAATTAGTGATATTTTAATTTTTCAAAAAGAAATATATAGTTAAAACTTAATAGAAGGTCTGTACTAAGCTGTGTAGCTATAAAAATGACTGGGGGCATTGCATTCAACAACTGTAATAATGATAGCTGCTGATAACAAGAAAAATCCTGAGGGTTTTGACAGTGAGTGTTGATTGGTTGACTGCAGGCCTGAGCAGGGAGGTGGAGGGCTTCTCTGCAGGCAGGGCATGGGGAGGGGCTCCCCCCGTGTCCACTTGAGCCTGCTTATTGAGCTGAACCATCCCCTCTTTTGACAGGAGCAGACCAGGCCTCTGTCACTGCTCAGAACCACATCCAGCTGGTGAAATCCCAGGTGCAGGAGGTGCGCCAGCTCTCCCAGAAGGCAGAGAGCAAGTTGGCAGAGGCACAGACAGAGGAGCTCCGGCAGAAAGCACAAGAGGAAGGGGAAGAGAGGGCTGACCCGCAGCAGGAGGCCTACCTGCGTGAGGATTGAGGGCCTGCGCCGCTGCCACATTTGCTCACTGGAGTGGGGAGGGCCCGGGGCGCCGCAGCTTTCCCTGCACAGAGGAGAGGCGGCAGGTTGTGGCCTATCAGGCCAGAGGCCTCTGTGCGTTGAGTGCCAGCCCCTTCGCCTGTGGTCTCAGGCCTGTACTCTCACCCACTGATCTTCTTACCTCGCCCCCAAAAGCATCTCACCAACCTGGCCCGGGGAGGAGGGGGGTTTTTGTCATGCTTATGAGTTCAGTAGCTGTTTAACCCCAGTTTTCGATCTTATTCATGTTTTCAAATATGATTTAGTATTTGCTCCCTCCAAAGGGATGTGAGTTTGGGGAGGCTGTCCTGTTTTCTTTTTAAGTGTTTCAGATGCCTTCTGTGATCTGGCTTCACTGCCCAGTAAGGACGGCTCAGGCCAAGAGTGACAAGCTTGTCTTGAAGGACGGCAGTGGGGGCCGGCGCTCTCAGCAGGCCCTGTCCCACCACACGCCTGGGTTTCTTCCCTCTGAGTCTCTGTTGTATCCAAAGGAGAACAAGAATTTTTTTTTTGCCCTTAAAAAAGTGTGGGTGTCTCTCAGCCTCCCTCCTCTGCCCCACAAGGAACCGTGGCAGCATTTGCCATGTCTTGGCCCCCCCTCATTCAACACACACCATTCAGGTCAGCCAAGTTTCAGTGATTTTAATCCAACTTAGCAAGGTTGGGAGGAGGGGTTACAGAAACAGTCATTTCCTGTAGACCAGCAAGGGTCAGTTTTCAAGGTGCTGTTTCCCATCATGATAGAAAATGAACACAGTCCACTGTTCAACCTGCCTCTTGGGGCTGGGGCGCGGCACATCTGAGCCCCTCATCTGTCACCAGTGCCCACATGGTCCACATCTCCAGGGGGCTGAGGCGGTGCACCAGCAGGAGCCCTCTGTACAGGCAGGGGTCCAGGGGGTCCAGGGGCCGCTGTATCCCAAATGTCTTGAAGCCAGCATGGTGCGTGGGGCTCACACCCAGCTTCCTCAGGCACATACCCACAAAGACGTCATCGATGGGGAAGAGTTCAGCCTCTTCCACGGCTGCTCGCAGGTGCTGCACGGTGGCTCTGGACATGACATAGCCTCCACCGCCAGCATAGGGCGGGTAGTGGCGGGCCCTGTACATGGAGGGTGGGATGAAGTATTTGACCTTGGTGTTCCTGTTGGGGAGGGCCTGGCAGATAACATCTCCCACCAGGAGGTCCTGGGCTGGGTCCCAGCCCTCCGGGAACTCCAGGACATTAGGGACATGGACAAAGACACCGTCATCTCCCTTGAGCACGAAGCGGGCCTGCGGGCAGGCTGCTGCCACCCAGCGCTGCAGATGCAGCTCCTTCAGCGTCAGGTTGAAGAAGTCCTCCACAAAGTCCCACTGCAGGATGTCGTCAAACTCCTGGCTCTCATAGGCCAGCAGCTGGGCTGGGGGTGCAGGTCCTGCCACTCCTAGGAGGAACACCAGCTTCAGCCGCTGGCCCCCTGCCCGGCCCCACGTGCTGCGGATGGCCGCCCGCCGCTCCACGTGGCTGGGCTGTGACTTGATGGCCAGGAGCAGGAAGGTGTCCTCGGCACAGCCCGAAGGCTCCAGCAGGATGGAGAAGTTGCGGCAGTGGCGATAGGTCAAGAAGAGGCGGTGGCGACTGGGCAGGGATAGGGAGGCGTTAGCCACTGTGTGGTTGGGCAGACAGTGGCTGCGGCGGTGCCCCGAGGGGGCCCAGAAGGGCTGGCGGGCCACAGGGCCCCCGGCCAGCTTGGCCTCCTTCTTGAGGAAGAGCAGGCAGCTGAGCAGCAGCACCGCCAGGCTGTAGAGGAGCAGCCAGCCCAGCCTACGCAGCATGGCTGTCCTGCAAGGAGAAGGCAGTGAGCGCGACCCCACACCCACCCGCCTCCTGGCACAACCATGGCTATGTCCCTGCTCCCTCTTGGACTTCCATTCTTTCCAGCATGTCCTCTGGCTCTTTCCAGAATACTGCTCCCAGAGGACGGGGACCGAGCACACCGCCCAGCCTCCCCTCCCTTCTGCCACATCTGGGCTCTTGGGGCAGCTGTGTCCACAGAAGGACTTGGAGCTGCTCTAACGCCGAGGCCCACAACAGTCCTCAGCATTTCCCAGGAAATTCCATACCTTATGAGCTGTAGTGAAAACGTGCAGAGCTAGTGTGGGGGAATTCATTCTAAGCATGAAACCTGACATCTGATCTTCACGGCTCTCGAGTCTAAAGTCAAACCTCTTCTGAACCATTTTTGTCCATGTGGCAGGCTCTGTGTTGGCTGTCTGTCTCAGACATGAATAAGCCTGCAGAGGAAACTCCACTGCAGGGCCGCAGGTGGCCGTGGCCATGTGAGAGCACAGCCCTTCCCAGCTGCCTGAGTCTTAGCAGTCTGGGCTTCCTGGTGGGGCCAGTGAAGCTGGGCTTTGGACGGATGGACAGACGAACGCACACACACTCTCTCTCTCAAAGGGCATGAAAAGAAATAAAACGCTGGAGACTGTACCAGGCAGGGTTCCCCTGAGGCTCCCCCTCGCTTCTCTTCCCTCTGCTTCTGCGTTCTGTTCTCAAGTCTCACAGCAGTCCACAGAGAAGGACAAGGAGGCCACAATTACAGAGTAACCTGCCCATCCTGTCCTTTCTGTCCTTCCTGCCCTGGATCCCCTCCTCCTCACGTCCACTCCCAGGTCCTGGCCCAGGAGGCCTTCCTCACTTCTAGCCAGTCCTCTTGCATTAGCCTCACCCCTGTTGTCCCTGCCGCCACCACCAGAAAGTGACTCTTCTAGGTGCTAGGGATGTGGAAGGACAAGACGGGATCCCTGCCCTCACAGAGAGCGCCCCAAAGAAATGCTGCTGGAAAACAACTGTCAGTGCTGAGAAGTTCCAGCAGTTTAAGGGCGCAAAAGCGGCAGGGAGGGCGGGCGCCTTTAGCCCAGGGCTATTAAGAAAGGCCTCCTTGATAAAGGGACGTTTGAGCAAGAACTGAGTGAAGTGAGGGGACGCCCCACACAAACACCTGGGGGAAGAGTGTGCCAGGCGGAGAGAAAACTTGGTGAAGGGCTCCTGAAGGGGGAGCGTGGACACATTTGAGCAACAGAACAGCTGAGTGTGATTAGTGCATGGCTGCATGCCAACAACTGCGAGGATGGAGCACGAAGGCACGTTTCATTGTTTTATAATGTTGCCCGGAGTCCCAGCCAAATGGGAGGCAACAACAGCAGGGCAAAATCAGGAGAAAAGTGGTAGAAGGTGAGGTGGGAGCAACAGCAGGAGCTGATTATGAACAGCCTGATGCGTAAAGGCATGGTCAGGATTTGATGAAAGTACCACTGAAGGTTTTAGCAGAGGAGGTAAAAGAATCTGCATTTCTAAAGGTCACTGCTGCTGCTGAGATCACGGACCAGCTAAAACACCGCTGCACGGTCTAGAGGACAGACGGACTCCGGGCTGTGGGAAGAGCCAGATGGGTTTCAGGTGTGGGAACTCCGTGGCCCGGGAGGGCGGGGCTGCCAGGTGAACATGATGCCATTTACCGAGAAGGGCCGACAGCAGGTGGTTCAGTTCTGTAGGTTTCAGAGGCGGCTGCACGGATCTGATCGTCCCAACCTGCGCCCCTCACTCCCAGCCCCGGCGCTCCAGCCGCAGGAGTTCCAAACCCTGCCCTCTGGGCCTGGACCCAGCCAGCAAGTCCCTTCCGCAGGGACTTGGCACCCAGCCTTCCTGAACCCCGTCCGTCCGCTCCCGCCATCACCCCGTGAGCCCCAAGGCCTGGTTCCTGACCTGGCGTGGGCTGCAGAGGTGCGCGCACCCCTCCAACAGGAGTCCTCAGCTCCCCACAGGATTCGGGGACCCAAAGAGGGTTCAGAAGCCGCTGAGGCCAGGAGAAGGGCCAAGGAGGCTGCATTCATTCCCTGCGACAGTCTCTACCGTGGGGTCGCCCATGTGGCCCAAGCAGCTCTGCCGCAGAGGCGTCCGGGGAAAGCGGCCCCCCGGGTCGGCAGGGGCACGACGCCCGTGGGGCGAGTTAAGCAAGAAGCCGTGAGCATGGAGAGCGGGAGCGCCCCTGCGCCCAAATGTGCGCGGCCTCCCCCGGGTGGCCATGGCAACGCGGTGGCACGGGCTGGGTGCGCCCTGGCGCGGAGGCTCAGGGCGACTGCGGTGCAGACCCGCGCGCACAAATGAGACACTACCCCCCGGCTCGCGGCCCCGGACCGGCGCTCGCGGGCCTACCTGAGCTATGACGCCGGACGGGCACAGGCGGGGAGCCGCGCAGTAGAGCCGCGACCCGACGCCCAGGTGCGGAGAGGTAGCTCTGCTCCGACAGGGGCGGGGCCGGCCACACCCCGGAGCGAGGTCCCGCCCCGGTGTGGTGCCCACGACGCCGCTTGGGGCATGAGGGGCGGGGCTACCTGGAAGGGCGGGGCTCTGCGGAGAGGCGGGGCTCCGGTGAATGGGCGGGGCTCCGAGGGGCAGGACTCCGGTGACTGGGCGGGGCTACGCGGAGGGGCGGGGGCAAGGAGAGGCGGCCCCCGCCCAGTCCTCGCCGCCCCAAGCGAGCCTAGCAGCCCCGCGAGTCCGCCAGGCGCGGCCGCTCCTCCCCAGACAGTACAGCCCACACTCCCTGCCCCACCCGCGGCGGCGGCCAAACAGACACCGAGGTCCCGCTGTAGGAACAGCCTTTAAAGACTCGTCCTAAACGGAGAAGGCCTGGAGCGCCTCCTCGGCCGTGCGGCACTGGTTCAGCTGGATCTGCACCTCCACCGTGAGCGGATCGGGCTGGTGGTCGCCTTCGCTCAGCAGGACGTCGGTTTTCTTAGCGTCTAAGGAAGAGAGACAGACTGAGGGCCCGGGAGGCACCCCCGGCTGCCCTCACCACGCGCCAACACCACGACCAGAGTCGCCTCGGCTTTTAATCACGGTCAGGATAACATTAAATCCCATTCAGTTAGATGCACCTAATAAATCGTCGTTATTAATAAACAAAAAACACCTACTTCCAATTAAATCGGGTTTATCCTAGAAAATCAAGGGCACTAACTGCAGAGAAAAGGAGCTGTTAGAAGGCTGAGGCCGCTCCTCTTTCTAACCTTTTGTTTTGTGAAATAGAATACGCATTTGCATGAACACAGTTCACCTCAATGAATGTGAGGTTAATGCCAGTTCAGCCACTCCCCAGATCAAGAACTAGGATACTGTCCATACCCAGGTATCTACATCTGCCCTTGCACGCTTTGATGGGAACCCTTTCCTGGCTTAACTGTCTAATACCAAAAAGAAAGACCACACCAAACCCATTGCCGTCGAGTCAATTCCGACTCATAGCAACCCTGTAGGACAGAGAAGAACAGCCCTATACGGTTTCCAAGGAGCAGCTGGTGGATTCGAACTGAGCTTTTGGTTAGCAACCTGAGCTCTTAACCACTGCAGCCACCAAGGCTCTGACTCTATAACCGCCTAAATACACATTTTGTCCCCCTCCTATTTTGAACTTTATATAAATTGAATCATTTGTACTATTCTTTTGTATTTAACTTTTTTTTTAAGATTTATACACATTGTTTTGATTAGCTATCCTTCGATCATTTTTATTGCTGATTGAGTAAAATTTTGCTGAAAAACATTCAAAAGCGGCTGCAGCAGTACATCAACAGGGAACTGCCAGAAATTCAAGCCAGATTCAGAAGAGGACATGGAACAAGGGATACCATTGCTGATGTCAGATGGATCCTGGCTGAAAGCAGAGAGTATCAGAAAGATGTTTACCTGTGTTTTATTGACTATGCAAAGGCATTCGACTGTGTGGATGATAACAAATTATGGATAACTTTGGGAAGAATGGGAATTCCAGAACTCTTAATAGTGCTCATGAGGAAACTGTACATAGATCAAGAGGCAGTTATTCGAACAGAACAAGAGGATACTGCATGGTTTAAAACCAGGAAAGGTATGTGTCAGGATTGTATCCTTTCACCATACTTATTCAATCTGTATGCTGAGCAAATAATCTGAGAAGCTGGACTATATGAAGAAGAATAGGGCATCAGGATTGGAGGAAGACTCATTAACAACCTGCGATATGCAGATGATGCAACCTTGCCTGCTGAAAGTGAAGAGGACTTGAAGCACTTACTGATGAATATCAAAGACCACAGCCTTCAGTGTGGATTACACATCCACATAAAGAAAACAAAAATCCTCACAACTGGACCAATAAGCAACCTCATGATAAATGGAGAAAAGATTGAAGTTGTCAAGGATTTCATTTTGCTTGGATCCACAATCAACACCCATGGAAGCAGCAGTCAAGAAATCAAAGACGCACTGCTTTGGGTAAATCTGCTGCAAAAGACCTCTTTAAAGTGTTAAAAAGCAAAGATGTCACCTTGAGGACTAAGGTGCACCTGACCCAAGCCACGGTGTTTTCAGTCACCTCATATGCATGTGAAAGCTGGACAATGAATAAGAAAGGCCAAAGAAGAACTGATGCCTTTGAATTGTGGCGTTGGCGAAGAATATTGAATATACCGTGGACTGCCAAAAGAACAAACAAATCTGTCTTGGAAGGAGTACAGCCAGAATGCTCCTCAGAAACAAGGATGGTAAGACTATGTCTCACACACTTTGTACATGTTATCAGGAGGAACCAGTCCCTGAAGAAGGACATCATGCTCAGTAAAGTAGAGGGTCAACGAAAAAGAAGACCCTCAACGAGATGGATTGACACAGTGACTGCAACAATGGGCTCAAGCATAACGACTGTGAGGATGGCGCAGGACCGGGCAGTGTTTCGTTCTGTTGTACATAAGGCTGCTATGCGTCGAGACCAACTCCACGGCACCTAACAACAAACAACAATATTCCATGGTTTAATGCTGATTTATTCATTCCATTACGGATGGGCATTTGGGCTTCTAATATTTTACTATTATGAACAACACTCCCATAAATACTTTTACACATTTCCTAGGACATCTGCAGAGGGCAAGCCTAAGAGCAGAACTGCTAGCTCGTCTGTGAATCTTCAACATTTCCAAAGAGTTGCACCGATTTACGTTCCCAGCAGCAGTATATGAGAGCGCTAGTTATTCCATGTTTGGTATTCTTTTTAATTATATCCACTCTAGTGGGTGTGTGGGAGTCCGTGGATGGTGCAAATGGTTAACACACTCTGCTGCTGACAGAAAGGCTGGTGGTTGGGGGCCACTCAGAGGTACCTTGGAAGAAAGGCCTGGTGATCTACTCCCAAAAGAGCAGCTATTGAAAACCCTATGGAGCACGGTTCTCCTCTGAGACACACGGGGTCAGCATGAGTGAGGATCCACCCAACAGCATCTGGTTACTGTTAGAGAGTGGGTAGTCCCATCCCATTGGGGTTCTGGTTTACACTTCCCTGATTTCTAATGAGGTGAAACACATTTTCATACGTTTATTCCCGTTTGGTTTTCCTCTTTTGTAAAAGGCCTATACAAGTTCTGGCCTATTCTCTACGTTGTTTGTTCTTGTTGATTTCTAGAGAGTCTTTATATATTCCAGATCTGAGCCCTTTGTTGCTAACATGTGTTGCAAATATCTTCTCCCATTCTCTGGCTTGCCATTTCACTCTTTATTTGTGTTAATTTTTTTTATTATGGTAAAATATACATTAACATACAATTTACCATTCATCTTTGTCTAAACATGTATCAGAACTTCATTTCTCTTCATGATGGAATTAATAGTCCACTGCGTGGATAGGCCACATTTGGTTATCAATTCGCCACTTGATGGGCGTGGAGCCCTGGTGGCGCAGTGGTTAAGAGCTCCGCTGCAAACCAAAAGGTCAGCAGTTTGAATCCACCAGCCGCTCCTTGGAAACCGTATGAGGCAGCTCCACTCTGTCCTGTGGGGTCACTATGAGTCGGAACCAACTCAGTGGCACCTAACAACAACATCTGATGGGCATCTGGGTTGTTGACACTTTCCAGGAGTGCTGCTATTCTTGCCTTATACTTGTGCGACCACCTCCCAGCTGGTCTCCTGTCTCCAATCTCTTGCTCCAAACCAGAGAGATCTTTCTAAAACTCCAATCTAAAATTTACCTATTTCAGACACTTCCACGGCGGCCCACCACCCACAGACAAGCCCAAGCTCCTCACAGGACAAACAAGGGCTAACGATGGAAGCCTGGGCCGGACAACAGTGAACCAGCAAGGCCCTGGCCTGTCCTGACTCTGCGCCCCGCCCCACCTGCTCCTGGCTCCTACCCTGGACTGCCTTTTCCTGTCCCTTCAACCTCCAGCAGGCAGCTGTGTCCACTGGGGGCTGCGGGCAGATGCGGACGTGGCCCCAATCAGAGTTGACCCCTCAGTTGCCATCACTGGCTCTTACCTCTTTTCGCTGCTTTCTTACTCTTGTTCTTCTTTGACTCCTGAAGAAAGAGCCACAAAACAAGCTGCTTACTGGAGGGGTGGGGGTGCTGGGGAAGGAGTGGGTGCAGAGTTGATGCGGCCTCTGTGAGGGGCTCCTACCCCTTTTGCAGGAGGCTGGGCTGGGTCTTCTATGGGGCGTGGGCCTAACCTGCTCCACCTTAAACTCTCCTCACACCTGAGGACAGGCTGCCACCCGGGCCAGGGACCCTGGAGCTGGGAGCCCCAGCAGCCTCACCATGTAAGCCGGAGAAAGACCCTCTCCCTGCTGGCCTTTCCGTGCGCACGTGCGTGCGTGCGTGCGTGCCTGCGTCAGAGGCTGCCGAGGCCTGGTTCCCGGAGCAGGAGCTGGGGCTCAGAGCTTCCCCCACCTTCCTCTCTCCTGTGAGCTGGCCCACTGCTCTCCCTTGCTCAGCTGAGGTTTCTGGGGGGAGGGTGAAGGCAGAGGCTGAGGGAAGTGGCAAGCCCCCATACCCTGGCAAAGGTCAGCCTGTCTGACTCCACGGTGCGGACCACCCCAAAGTTGCACACGGTGGACATTAGTGACTCCCCGGCCAGCAGGGACTCCAGGGCCACCATGCCTCTGCCCAGCACCGTCAGGATGGGCGGGTCTTGGCGGAGTTCCTTAGGGAGCTCCTTCTTCTTCTTGGGCCCCTTCTGTTCCTGGAGGGAGAGGCAGGCGGGGCAGAACAGGGCAGGCACCGCCATGGCCCGGGACAGGGAGCAGGCGGCCCCACCCGTGCCAACTACCTTACTAGCTTCTTTTTCCCCTTTGCGCTTCTTGTCGTCTCTGCGCTTCTTGTCTTTCTCCAGCTTTCCTTTCTTGGTTGTCAAGGGACTCTCCGAGGGAGGTGCGACCAGCGGCCAAGAGAGAATCTAGGAACAGTCATGGGCGCATGGACAGAGTCAAGGGTGGGCCAGAGGATTGCTGTGTCAAGTTTCCTGTCCCTCACCTCTCTGGAAAGGCACTGAGACCGACCACTCCTGACAAGGACCCGAGAGATGAGGGGAAGAGGAGGGAGTGACAGTGTGGACTCCGCGGAAGCAAGAGGAGGCACCGCGGCCTGCAGCCCACCTTCTCCTGTACAATGGTCACCGTGGTCCCCGCCAGCAGGAAGGCCTTGAGCGGCACCAGGTCCCGCAGCGTGTGCTGCATCTCGTAGTTGCAGGGAATGACGTCGCTCCAGGGCTTGCGGGCTGTGCTGAAGAGAACCGTCCTGCGGTGGGGGGAGATGAAGAGATGGGCGCCGTCCGCCGGGACAGGGCGCCTGAGCCTCACACACAGGCCCATGCGCACACCGCCCACCGCCCACCATCCACTGCCAGGTGGGACGAGGGCCGAGGAGGCAGGGGACACCCACGGGCACAGAAGAGACAGCAAGGCTAGGTGAGGAGTGGGGAGACTTCCATCCAGGCATGACTGCACAGGGAACATTGGATGGAAATCAACCAACCACGGACCACAACTGTTAAAAAAAAAGTTCAGCTAAGTAGGAGCAAAAAGTAGAAACATTACAAACTCCTCGAGTGGTTACAAAATTATACTCAAGTGACAATCAAAATTCTCTGGGGATTGGTGGTAGAGACTGACCAACTGAGTGTAGAAATTTGCCTGGGAGAGAAAGCAAGAATTCCAAAGAATACATTTAAAAGACAATGATGTCATAAACCATGATCTCTAGGAATGTATCATATTTTACGCAAATAATGCGTGTTACACATTTTTTGCCAACCGCGCAACTGCCTCGTGTTATTTTCCTAAGTGTGGTGTGCACATTGTATGTGTAGGCGTGTTATTTGTGGAAAATACCATAATATGGCATTATTCATTTTCATATACCTAGTATGTAGTCTAGTTTCTGGCATACCAAAACAGATATTTCATGGAGAATATATTAATTATTAAATGAATAATTTATGCTACTAGATTTTAAAAGTATACTGGAAGGCAGCAATTCTCAAAACAGTATGACATAGGGTCAAAAGCAGAAACAGTGGTCCCTAGACTATAGAATCCATCAATAGAGTTTTAGTAGTATTAGAACATAATACTTGACACCAAGAAGCAGCATTGTGGGTGGGGAGTAATTTAACACATATTGTTTAACAACTGGGTCACAGCATGAAGGAAGTTGTCATGCACTACAATAAATGAACATAGGTCCCAATGGGAAACTAGTTTGCTCTGTAAACCTTCATCTAAAGCACAATAAAAAAGTGAAAATATGTCCCAGTTAAGCATTAGTAAAAACTAGAAAATCATAGCAGAAAAAGGAAGAACATTTTCCCACAAAGACATGGGGTGTCTGATCAGGGATAAAGTTGGGGGGTGGAAATATAATGTCAGGCCCAGTAAAATAATGGTGTCAGTCCCAGGCTTGAGTACTGTGCAAAACAGGTGTGCAAAAGCAAAATGTTAAAGGGAAACATAAAATTGGGAAAATATATGCAACAACAATAATTGATTTTAAAAAGTAGTGGTAATTAAAAAGTCCAGACTTACTGGACTGGTTGAGACTAGGGGACTCCCAGAGACTATCACTCCGAGACACACACTGTTTTTTTTTTTTTTTGGTTGTTTAGTTACTTTTTTCTTTCTCTTTTTAAAATATTGTATTTAAGGTGAGAGTTTATACAACAAATTAGGTTCCCATTTAACCATTTATTTCTCACACAAATTATTCAGTGACATTGGTTACATTTTTCATGGTGTCACTATTCACGTTCATTCCATTCTGGTTGTACCATTTCCAGTACTCTAGTTTCCCTGCCCCCTTACCTTCTCATCTTTGCTGTAGAGTAATTTTTGACCATTTAGTCTCCTATAGTTGATTTTTTTTTGGTAAAGAAGCTCATTACTCAGGGGTGATATTCTTTATTTTATAAGCCAATCTGTTATTTCGCTAAAAGGTGACCTGAGGGATGATTTCAGTTCAAGGTTCGCTCTGAGGTACTCTTTAAACTTTGAACCAAGACTATTTCCTCAGACTGCATCTTAGTTAAATAACAGACTGGCTCACAAAATAAAGAATATCCCCCATAAGGACTGTGCTCCTTTAAAAAAAATTGTCTATATGAGACCAAATGGTCAACATTTACTCTAACGCAAAGATGAGAATGCAAGGGGGCAGGGAAACTAGATTATTGGAAATGAAACAACCAGAACAGAAATAATGAGAATGTTGACAGACTATGAAAAATGTAACCAACTGCAGTGCAATGAATTCCCTAGTATGGCCCTTCTAACCATAGCCTCTGTGACTCACACACAAGGATTGAGCGGGACCAGGCCAATAAGGGAAATGGAACTCCATCGAGGGGACTGGTCAGTTTCACCATCCCAGTAGGCTTAAAATGAGGCATCCCAGAGGCGGGAGGAGAGGATCTCACCACCACCAAGAAAGAACAGCCAGGAGTGGAGTATGTCCTTTGGACCTAGGGTCCCTGCACCGAGAAGCTCCTGGTATCAGGAGACTGAGAGAGAGAGAGAGCTGTAATACTGAAGACACCGAGAAGAGGTGGCAGAGAAATGGTAACAGCAGAGGCAAGAGACCAGCAGGAGACGGAGCAGTGGGCTTCTCAGCCCACAGAGCAAGAAAGCTGAGTGCCTTCGGGCAGGAGGCCTGCTGGAGGAGCAGGTGCCTCTGGGCACTTTGTGGAGCTAGGTTTGCCGACCCACGGAGCTAGAGCTGAGCACCTTCAGGCCGAGGCTTACTGGCGGAGTGGAGTGCCTCTGGGTACTTAGCGGCAGAGCTAAAAGAGCTTTGTAACGCTTGCCTGAGCAGGGCAGAGGCCAGGCGGAGGGGCCGAGGGTCAGAGAGAAGACTGCCTGCAGACATGGCTGAGAAGAGACTGTCCTGATGGAAGCACTGTCTCCTGACTGCTCCTGAACCGGAACTGTAACCTGTTACTTCCCTAATAAACCTCACAATTGTGAGTGCTGTCTGTGAGTTCTGTGTGGCCATTGCAATGAATTATCAAAACCAAGAGAGAGTGCTGTGTGAGGGACAGCTGTGTCAGAATTGGTAAAAAGGGCCGGTGAGAGGAGGCATGTCTGACCTCCACCTCATAGCAGTCAGCCTCGGGCTGGTGATCTAGACTCTCCTTCCCCGCGGAGAAGGGAGAGGAGGCCAGGCGCCCCCGCCACACCCTTTTTACACCCACGTCTCTGAATAATTTGTATAGAAATGGTTAAATGGGAACCTAATTTGCTGTGTACTTTTAGCCAAAAACACAATAAAATATTTTTTAAAAAGTAGTGGTAAATTATTTTACATGTAGAACTGGTACAGATGTATCAAGGTTAACGCTCAGAATCTCTCAGGGGAGGGGTTGACACCGTCTGTCTTCAGAACCTCATCTCTACTGCAGTCATCTTCCCAAAATGCAAATCTGAATTTGTTACTCCTCTGCTTAAAACTTTTTAATAGTTTCCCTTCAGAGAAAATAGGCTTTCTCTCTGCCTCTCCAGGCCTCTCTCTTGCTGATTCCTACCTTCCTCCGTATTTTTCCCAAGTCTAGATTGAGGCACAGATAACCCCTGTGCTTCTCCTAATGCAGCAATTAGTACACGTGGAGCAATGCAATCACTGTCTGTCCATCTCCCTCAAGAGCAGGTAAGTACCCCAATAACCAGTAGCCGCTGAGTCGATTCTAACTTACAGACACTCCATGTGTGTCAGAGTAGAACTGTGCTCCACAGGGCTTTCAATAGCTGATTTTTCGGAAGTAGATTGCCAAGCCTTTCTTCCGAGGCACCTCCAGGTGGACTTGATCCTCCAACCTTTCGGTTAGTAGCTGAGCTCGTTAACCGTTAGCACCAAAACATGTGAGGAACATGAAGCCCGTGGGATGGACGAGACAGGACACGTTAAGTCAAGAAAGAACCTGATATATAGTTTCTGTACCTATATTCCCGAATCAATTCTAGGTGGAGTAGAAAGTTAAAGACAAGGGATTCAACTGTAAAGGCTGAAATGAAGAGGGCTTCCTATCTGCCATCTCTCAGCTGAGTAAAGAAAGTCAATCACTCAGGACACATGAACGGTTCAGGGAAACAGGATTCGGCTGCACTTGGTCGGGACTCGAGGAAGACGGGTGGAGAACGTGGTTCTGCCACTGCTCACTGGGGCGGCCCCGTCACACTGTGGTCTTGGGCAATTCTCGGGGCTGGGATAGAGGTGGCTGCACTGGAGTGGGCGCCCTCTGGGTCCCATCAGGAGGCACACTGAGCACGCACACCCCCCACGCACGCACCCCCCCACGCACGCACCCCCCGGACGCACGCACCCCCACGCACGCACCCCCCCGACGCACGCACGCTCGGCTACCAGTTCCTGAGAGCGGTGGCCCGAGTCACTCACGAGCAGACGCCAGGAGGTGCAGTGGCAGCTTGCTGTGACCCCTGTACCCCAGGGACCCCCGCGGCTTTGCGCCCTTACCCTGGGGACGGGCACAGCCGGGGATCAATGCGAGGCCGCAGCTTCGCCAGCTCCTCCGCTGAGTCGATGGACGTCTGCAGGACGGCCGAGCCTCTTACTGAGACGGACCCCTCCAGCTCCCCGGACTCGGTCATCCCGCCGGACTCCACAGACTCCTCGGCCTCTTCAACGTCCTCCTCCGGAGACTCCTCGGGCACGATCTCTGGGCTGGACGAGGGCTTGACGATCTGCGGGGTGGGGGGGAGACACACGCCCATAAAGTTCTCCCCGACGGCATGCGGGTGTCTGCTTAGACAGACAGCAGCCAGCGTCTGGATGAGTGAAGCCAGGGGTGAGCACATGGACTTAGCGGGCGGGAAGGTTAAAAAAGTGCCAGTCTTGTTGCTTCTCGAAGTTCTCCGTCAAGAGTAAAGACAGTCACAACGAGTTCCAAATAGGACAGGATATCCTCAGGGTTATACCAGGCAGACGGTAGGCCTCCTTGGGTTTTCTGATGTAGAAGGAGACAGGAGGCGGGGAGTTGAGAGGGGTTGGGAGCAGTCTTCCTGCTGAGGGTCTCTGTGGCTGCTGTGATATACCATTTGCTCAGATTCCAAGGGGAAGGGGAGTGGGCACAGCTCAGTTACCTCCTGCAAGACAGGGACCGAGGCGAGGCCAGTTCCCGCTCGGAGGACGGGTATGAATCAGAAGGTTCTATGTGAGCGGTTTTCCTGTGCCCCAGAAGCTGCTCTGCCTTCCAGAGAGCCCCACGGACCTCAGAGCTGACCCCCACCCCATCCCCGGGAATAGGTGGAAGACTTACGCACCTCCGCCAGCACCCCAGCGTATTCACTTCCTTCACCTTCTTCATCTTCCACAAAGTCGTAGGTCACGTAATAGCTGTACGCAATAAAAGGTCCTTCCGGCCCTGGTTCCGGGTCCAAGACAGAGGAGTCCAGGACTCCTCTGATGTTCCCGATAGTCACCACAAGCTGTGCCTCGTGGGCCAAGAGATCTGCAAGGGGGACAGGACTGAGGGAAGACTTGGAAGACAGGCCGCCGGAGAGGGAGGAAAGTGTGGACCATCAGGCATCTCCTCCACCGAGGGCTGGGCGTTAGAGTTTGGTAGACTCGGGTTCAAATCCCCGCTTGGCCATCTTCAAACAGTGATTTTGGCTAAGTCACTACAGCCCTCTTAGGCCTTGTTTTCCTAATTTATACAGTGGGAACATGTGGTGCAAGGCCTCAAATTACTATTAAGTGCCGCCATGACATCTGAAACCAGGATGGCCTTGAGCAGCCCCTCTGCAAGTTTCCCTCCCCACTCTGCTCCCCCAGGTAAGGTTCCCTCGACAAACAACCCTCCTTATCAGACGGACCAGGAGCAGTTCTCACTTATCCCTGGGTAGCAACCTTCAGGTCCCTGCCAGCGTGCAGTTATTCAAACAGGCCAGTCACATCTCCCATGGGAACCAGGGGGCACCCCACCCTCTTGATCCTACAAAGTCTGCCTCCCACAGACTCTGGTGGTTCACTCTGCCCCGAGTGCCACTCCCGCGTGGCCCTGCGTGGCGTGCGGTGTCCTCCTCCCCTGGGCTGCGAGTGCACGTGACTAGCACACTGCTGTCCCTCTCATCTGTCCAGTGTCAGGTGTCACAAGTCCAGCCGTCCCCACAACCCTCGGGCGGGAATTCCTCCCTCACCAACAGAGTCAAGAGGACACGATCAAAAGAGAATAATCAGAAAAATAATCAAAAACGGGGATGGGTACAGAGAGGGTGCTATCCAGAATATGCGTTACCTTCGCTCCGGCCATTACTGTCGGTATCACCCTGACCTTGCGGAGGCCCTGGTGCAGCTTGCGGCACAGTCCACCAGGGGGCGACCTCAAGCCACCAAGGAGGTTAAGAAATTGGCTTAAGACAACCGATCCCCTCTGTTGCCGAGGACTGCAGGGACCATGATGCACTGCCTGCCGCGCCTTTGCCCAAATGCCAACCCCAGGCATTGAAATCGGGTGGCACCTCCAGCCACAATGACGATCAGCTGGACCTGACTGGGGTCTGGGTCCAGGCGGAGTGGCTGGGGACCGATGAGTACGAGCCCCCAGCAGGGTGGGTGGGCAGGTGAGCTCAGACCCCCTCCACCACGCACACAGCATCCTCACCCCCGTTGACGCTGAGCCCCCGGAACTGATGCTTCTCGTTGGGAGACACGGTGATGTCATCAAGCACGCAGAGTCGAGACAGGGTGTCGACGGTGAGGCCTCGGTAGTAGGGCACCAGGGCCAGCGGGTTCCCCTGTAGCACCAGCAGCCGCAGCTGCCGGAGGGTATGCAGGCTGTCCACCATGCTCTGCAGGTCTGTCAGGTCGTTGAAGCCCAGGTCCAGGGAGACGAGGTTGGGCCTGCAAGGGGCACACAGCCGCCCAGGGTCAGGAAGCTGGGCACCTGCCCTACCCAGCACCCCAAGGGGAGCATGACCGTCTGGGGTCAAGAAGCCGGGTGCCTGCCCTTGCCCAGCACACCAAGGGGACCATTGCCGCCCGGGGTCAGGAAGCTGGGTGGCTGCCCTGCCCAGTACCCCAAGGGGAGCATGGCTGCCGAGGGTCAGGAAGCTGGGTGCCTGCCCTGCCCTGCTCCCCAGCACCTTGTGTCCAGGGCAGACCGAAGGCCTGAGGCTGAACATCAGAGCAGAAGTCCTTGCCCACCCTGCACACCCTGTCTGCCCTCGACCCCATTCCCTATCTGGAATGGCCTCCAGGTTCTCTGTGCCCCCCGTCCACTCTCTCCCTATCAGTTGGTCCTCAGTCTGTTGCAGAGATGGCCCCAAGCTCATCCCACTTCTGCCTGACTTCTGTTTACACAGACCTTCTGCTCTGGGTTACACATCTTGGTGTCTCCTATCGAGCCTGACCCAGGGTATTACATCCAGAAAGTTCTCCACAAATGCTTACTGACAGATGGAAGAAGGAGGCAGAGGGAGGGCCCTGAGGGAAAGCAGGGAGGGGGTAGGAGGGGCGCCTCCCCAAGAGAATCTAGGGGCCTGGCAAGTGGGAGTGTGAAGCTATGGGGTGGAAGGCCTAGAAGCTGGAGAAGGCTTTTCAGAGCCAGACTGGCACATGGTCACACAGAGCCGTGTGGTTCGCTTCTCGGGGAATGCAGCAGTGAGGGTCCAGGAGGCATCCACCTCAGCCTGGAGAGCAGGACTGGGAAAGGAGGAGAAGACAGGTCTTTGGGTCCAGGAAGGACCCACTGCCACAAACTAGAAAGCAGACAGATTTCAGCTCTGAGAACACAGGCAACAGAAACACAGAGGCCACCTCATCGGCACAGTCTCACCCAGACACGCCGACAGTTTCCCTCTGGTTAAACTCAGCTGCTACTTCTTTCATAGCCATCCCGCCTGTGAGGTGCACCAGCCAGGCAATGGGAAGTACACGAGAAAAACACATCACAGGGACCGGCGTGCTGATCTCACCCACCATCCGCCCTCCAGGACCACTGCAGCAGGGTCAGCCAAATCTCTCTGTAAGGAGCAAACCGTCCTTCTAAATTTCAACAATGGAGGTTCCGGATGTATGTTTCCATGAAACCCATACTCTGCACTAAGCAGGTTGCCCACGTTGATGGTTAGTGTGTTTTCTGAATAAAAAATCAGAACGCCTGGTACTCTGCTGATGGACTGAGAGTCTGAAGTCAGCTGTCCTAGAAAGGTCACATTGTATGGTATAGCTTCCTTGCGATGCCACCTTCCCTGACCAAAACCAGTTGTTGTCAATTCAGTTCCAACTCACGGCGACCCCATGTGTATCAGAGTAGAACTGTGTTCCATGGGGCTTTCAATGGCTGGTTTTTCAGACATAGATTGCCAGGCCTTTCTTCCATGGCACCTCTGGGTAGACTCGAACCTCCAGCCTTTCAGTTAGCAGCCGAGCATGTGAACTGTTTGCATCACCCAGGGGACCCATATTCTCTGATGGCTATGGTCAAAGGGAGAAAGGACTGCCGAATCGTCTGCACCAAGACTGTAGCCAGGCAGCTTGGCTAGGAGCAGACTAGAAGGGGGAGGAAAAAGGAAATTACGGTCAGAGAGAGGGACCCTCCCTTACTAAGTCTACCCCCTCCAAAAGCTTACACGGGTGGGCCACATGAGAGACTGTTCTCCAGGCCACCCGGGGGGAGGGAGAAGGAATGCTGATCCACACTTGCTAGTCTTTCATCCATGATCAAGCAAGCCCATGGAAATGCTACCCAGGACACTGAAATCCTGGAGATTTTCCCAGCATGCTTTGAGAAGCCGTCCTGGCCCAGCTGCCTTTGATGGCCTTTCACTGGCGGTCACTGATCTTGCCATACCTCTCAGATCCCAGAATTTCAACTTTGCCACTGCTAACCCACCAAGGCCACCACCCGTCTGTCAGTGTGTCGTACTGTGGTGACCTGCGTGTTGCTGTCATGCTAGAGGCTATGCCACTGGTATTTCAAACACCAGCAGGGTCAGCCATGATGAACAGGTTTCAGCAAATCTTCCAGACTAAGATTAGGAAGAAAGGCCAGGCAATCTACTTCCAAAGATTAGCCAATGAAAACCCTAAGGATCACAAAAGAAAAGTGTCCGACATAGTGCTGGAAGGTGAGCCTCCTAGATTGGAAGGCATTGAAAACACACAGAGGATGCAAAAATGGACTCAAGCATACCAACGATCGTGAAGATGGCGTAGGATTGGCCAACGTTTTGTTCTGTCACCCGTGGGGTTGCCATGAGTCAGAGCCCATTGGATGGCAACTGACAACAAAACCACCACCCACCAAGGAGACAAAATCAAGCAAAAATAACTGGGAGGACTATTCTGCACAACCTCGAAAGCACAATGAACTTTCAATAACAACAAAACATCCAGATTAAACAAAGAGTTGTCTCTTAGGAAGTTCTCAACTGGAGGGGGCAATTCTACCCCCTAGGGACACTCGGAGATGTCTAGAGATGTTTTTAGTTGTCACAAATGGTACTACTGTTAAGGCAGAGCCTCAAGCAGCTTTGCATCAGAATCCTGTTTTCTTTGCTTGGCTTCCTCCCCACCACCCTCAACTTTGCATTAGAATCCTGTTTCCTTCACTTGGCCTGGTGATGCACGAAGTTATGTATAAACCCCATTGTGCCTGTGTAGTATGATAAAGAATGTTGTTGATGTAACTTGTGTGAACTTCCTACTTGTAAACCCCTTAAAAGTAACCTTTCCCCTCCCCCTGGAGAAGCAGTCTTGGCAGCAACACCTCCGACTGATTCCCTTCCTTGCGCAATGAAATAAAGGTGCTTTTCTGCCTTCCCACCTCGGTCTCTCATTTATTGGCCAATTCAGGTTGTGCCGAGCAGAATCTGGGGTTTCCACCCAGTAACAGTGTCATCTAGTGGGTGGAGACCAGGGATGCTGCTAAACATCCTACAATGTACAGGACAGGCCCACCACCACAAGACTCATCCAGCCCCCAATGTCATCAGTGCCAAGGTTTAGAATCCCTGCTGTAAGGTATGGCATCAAAGCCAAGGGTCTGTCTCACTCCCACCACCAAGTATCCTTCCCTGGGGTTCAGTGGGATTTCTTTACGGGGTCATGGAAATAAATCCTGAATGTGGATTTGACAACCAACCAGGAGTTATTACAGAAAAAAGTACAGCTGGCTTCAAGCCACCAGGTTAGAATTGGCCAAGCCTAACGCTTCATCCCTCTTTCTCCTGTGCCATCCGGGGCTCCCATGTTACCAGTGATCAGCGGTGACATATAGGCTTTCCAGGGGGCCGAGGAGTTTGTTGTGGCCTAAACCCAAGTGCTGGAGGCCTGGGGGTGGGCAGGCGCACAGACACTCCACGCTGGTGATCTCGTTGCCGTACAGCTCCAGCACCTGGGGAGGACAGTGGACAGTGACCGCTAAGAGGCAGCAAGGTCAAGACTGAGGGTGCCCTTCCTTCCTTCTGCCCTGGAAACGTGGCAGAGGAATTATGACTTAGGGAAGGCATGCTTCCCAGCATCCAACTGGGCTCCCTTTTGAAAATCCAAGAAGAAAATGCTTCTGCAGCAGGTTTGGGAAGTTACTTTTCCTTTTTGGAAGGGAACTTTGAAGTTTGGAGTGGCAGTGATGTTTGCGTGGGGTGGGAGGGGAGACGGATGACACTGTGACAGCTTAGCCCATGGGCGGATGTCTCTGGGGGCACCAAAGGGACCCTGGATGGGATAAGGAGCAAAACCCAAGGATGACAGAGTGTTCTCTTCCTCTCTTGTGTTCTCTTCCTCTCATCGAAAGCCTTGCCTGGTTCTTTCTTGAGAACAGGACACAGCCATGTTTCTGAGTCCCTTCTGCCACCAAGTCAGCTTTTGTCGGCGTTTAATTTAAAATGGAGACCATTTTTTATATTCTCAGCTGAAGACTCACAATAAAGCCCGGCCTGCCTTTTAGATGAATCCCTGGGTGCTATGAGTGGTTAAGTTCTTGGCTGCTAACTAAAACATTGAAGGTTTGAGCCCACCCAGAGGCACCTGGGAGGAAAGGCTTGGTAATCTGCCTCCAAAAAATCATCCACTGAAAACCCACGGGGCACAGTTCTACTCTGACACACATGGGGTTGCCATGACTCAGGAGGGTCAACTTGATGGCAACTGGTTAAGCTTTTAGAAGGCTGGTCCTTAGCACACAGCCCCAGCCACAATGGCCAAACTTTCTGTCTGTGAGGCAGGAAGGGGCAGGGACTCTGGGCAGCCCTGGCTGGAAGGCCCTAACAGAACCTCACCTTGAGAGTTGGGGGCAGATTGCTGGCTTTGACCTCCTTGATTCGGTTGGCACTCAATACCAACTCTTCAAGCTTCGGAAATTTCAGGAGGCCTTTGTCCACTAGGCTCACCTGGAATGAAGGAAGGTCGGGGCTCTTGTGGGCAAGGTGCCACTGGAGCAGAAACAGCCTATCCAGCTTCAGAAAGGAGCTCTGATGGTGCAGTGGTTAAGCGCTCGGCTGCTAACCAAGAGGTCGGTGGTTCGAACCCACCAGCCGCTCTGGGAGAAAGATGTGGCAGTCGGCTTCTGTAAAGATTACAGCCTTGGAAACCCTATGGGGCAGTTCTGCTCTGTCCTGTAGGGTCGTTACTCCCCAACAGCCCCATCACTGCCCCCAGTGTCCCCCAACACCTTACCCCTCCCCCTGCCCTCAGCCTTCACTGTACTATTCGGCCTGGATCCAAGTTCTCAGCCCTCCCAGTGACCCCTCTGCTTCCAGCCCTTGTCCCTCCATCATCAGGCCAGTGTCCCATCTTCCTCGTCAGACTGTGTGTTCCCATGGGCAGGAATCCTGTCTTGTTCCCTCTCCCCCAGTCCCGTAAGCCCTAGGCCCGACTGCCTGACTGGCATTGAAGTAGGCAGGGCCCTCAGGATCAGTGTGGTTTACACAGAGCAGGGTCAGGCAGAAGCCTCAGGGCCTACCCATGAACCCTCAGTTCCCTCTAAGTGCCCTCTAGGCATCAGGGGCTCTTCCTGGCTGGGCCTCTTGTCCCTAAGGTAGTCAACTCTCCCAGGTTACCCAAGATGGAGGGGGTTCCCAGGACACAAGACTTTCAGGGCTAAAAGCAGGTAAGTCCCAGCTACAGTGGCAGGAGCTGGTGGTCTTGCTCATCCCCCAGGACTATTGTGCAGGTTAATAATCTCTCTGCGGAGGGAGAGGCAATGGTTCACAACGGTGGAGACCTAGTCTCCGTGCAAGTTTTGGGTTCTATTATTGATAGAAGCAAAGAACGCTTTTTAATCACAAAAATTAACGTAGTACTATGCCAACCACCCCTCCCCCAACTCCACAGGTTAAATGGGGTAAAACCAACATGGACTTTTTGGAAGGTCTTTACTAGAAGACATGAGGGTAGCACAAACCAGCTGTAGAAGGAACACAGTGGACTCCTTCCCAGGTGGAGGAAGCAAGGTACCTAACCACAGATCACCTGGTGGTGGCCCTGCTTGGCGGACAAGCTGGTGAGGTGAGCGAAGCTGAGGGCAGGGTTGACCTGGCTCAGTGCTCCAAAGCCGACCTCCTGAGGGGTTGTGGAGGGGGCGCCCTCTTCCCCACCTCGCCTACCACTATGCCTGGGTCTTATCCACAACTACTGTAGAAAGATTAGACAGGAACCTTAGGGGGCAGCGAGTTCATGTTAATAGGGGAGGAACAACTCGGAAAAGGAGGGTGAGAATGTTTGCACAACTCGAAGAATGTAATCAATGTCACTGAATTGTACGTGTAGAAACTGTTGGTTTACGTTCTGCTATGCATATTCTCAACAACAGCTAAAAAAAAGAAGCAAGAAAAGAAAACCCTGTGGAGCACAGTTCTACTCGGATACACGTGGGGTTGCCGTGAGTCGGAATCAACCAGGTGGCAACTGGCAATAAGGCAACAGTTTCGACTCTTCCACGGTGCTAAAATTTGAGCCTGTTGTGGTGTTTGCGAAACACCAGAGAGGTGAGTGCCTGCTGAAGCTCTGTCTCCTAACAAAAAGTGCTCCCGTACGGTGGCCATAAGAATCATTTACAAACCAGCCAGTGTTTTTAGAGTTTACAGAGCACTTCCATGCACCTTATCTTATGGAAGCTTCTCTACCCCGGCCTACAAATGAAGAAGATGAGGCTCCAGGGGCTGAGGAAGCGAGTTACCCTGGTCGACATTCTGCAGTCAGCAAAGCCAGAACTTGACTATTTTTAGCAGAAAGCAAACACGGTTCATCTATCCACATAAGAGCAGGAGCCAGAATTCGTTCTCCTGCTGTGACGTGGCCTCAGACATTACCTACAGGAGCTCAAGGAACATTAAAAGTTAAATTAAACAGCTTTTAAAATCTTATCCTAAAAACAGTAATAACCACCGTAAGGGGAGCGGCCATTGTGCCCTGAAGCGCTGTGGTCTGGGCGCTTCCCAGCACTCACCCCTTTATTCACCACACGCAGGGACCGGAAGTAGGAACAGAAGAAGACATCGCTGAGCATCAGTGGATTCTGAATGGCCAGCTCTCTGAGGAAGCGGTCTTCCGCGCTGGAGTCACTCGGCAGAGCCCAGGGCGAGTGGGGGCTGCGGACCAGGCCCAGCAGGGCCTCCACCGTCTCCTCCCCCGCGCTCACTGTCTCTTCCTCTCTGGGGACCAGCTCCCGCCATGTTCGCCAAGTTTGAGGGAGGAAGCGAGACTTATTCTGCAGGGGTGGAGGTGGAGAATTTCTCTGTAAGACTTAGCCATTGCTAGGGGTTGAATTAAAAGGAACCCTGGTGGCGCAGTGGTTGAGCACTTGGCTGCTAACCAAAAGGGAAAGGTCAGCAATTCAAACCCACCAGCCGCTCCTCAGGAGAAAGACGTGGCAGTTTCCTTCTGTAAAGATTACAGACTCGGAAACCCTACGGGGGCAGTTCCACTCTGTCCTATAAGGTCGCTATGAGTCAGAATCAGCTTGATGGCTATGGGTTTTAGGTAGGGGTTGAATTGTGTCCCCCAAAAAGATAGGTTGAAGTCCTAACACTTGTCTCTTTGAATGTGGCCTTATTTGGAAATAGGGTCCTTGCAAGTGTAATCAAGGTAAATGAGGTCATCAGGGTGGGCTCTAACCCGCTATGACTGGTGTCCTTATAAGCAGACAGACAGACAGACAGACATAGGGAGAAGTCCACACGACAGCAGAGGCAGAGACTGGAGTGATGCATCTGTAAGCCATGGAAGGCCAAGCACTGAGAGAGAGGCATGAACAGACTTTCCCCCAGAGCCTTGAGAGAGAGTGCGGCCCTGCTCATGCCCTGATTTCAGACTTCTGGCCTCCAGAACTGGGAGAGGATAAATCTGTTGTTTTAAGACCCCTGAAAACCAAAACCAAACCCATTACCGTTGAGTTGATCCTGACTCATAGTGACCCTATAGGACAGAGTAAAACCACCCCATAGGGTTTCCAAGGAGTGCCCGATGGATTCAAACTGCTGACCTTTTGGTTAGCAGCCAAACTCTTAACCACTGAGCCACGAGGGTTTCCTTCAGCCTGCCAGTTCGTGGTAGTGTGTTATGGCAGCCCTAGGAGGCTAATACGAGTTATCTTAAGGATCTGAAACTCTCAAGATTAAACAGTTTATAAAATAGGACAATTAGGGATAGAGATTTAGACAATAGGAAATCAGTAATTTTGACTGATTGTTTACCATGGATATAACCACAGATGAGGGAAATGCAGAATCCCAAAAAGGCCCAGTTCCTGTCTCCAGTTTACTCTAGTTGGGAACCTTGAACATACAAGTATAAGTGATTATACAGCACCTAAAGCAACACACGGGAGTCCCTGGGTGGTGTAAATGGTTAATGAGCTCGGCTGTTAACCAAAAGGTTGGAGATTTGAGTCCACCCAGAGATGCCTCGGAAGAAAGCCTGGTGATCTATTTCTGAAAAACAGCCATTGAAAACCCTATGGAGGACATCTAGGTCAAGTTGCATAACAAAGCTTATTAAGAAAATGTTCTGCATCCTGCTTCAGTGAGTGGCGTCTGGGGTCTTAAAAGCTTGCAAGCGGCCATCTAAGATGCATCAATTTGTCCCAACCACCTGGAGTAAAGGAGAATGAAGAACACCATGGACACAAGGAAAGTATTAGCCCAAGAGACAGAAAGGGCCACATAAACCAGAGACTTCATCAGCCTGAGACCAGAAGAACTAGATGGTGCCCGGCTACCATCAATGACCACCCTGACAGGGAACACAACAGAGAGTCCCTGATGGAGCAGGAGAAAGGTGGGGTGCAGAACTCAAATTCTAGTAAAAAGACCAGACTTAATGGTCTGATTGAGACTGGAGGATCCCCAGAAAGCATGTCCCCCAGACTCTGTGTCAACCCAGAACTAAAACCATTCTTGAGCCCAACTCTTCAGACAAAGATTGGACTGGACTGTGGGACATGAAATGATACTCGTGAAGAGTGTGCTTCTTAGCTCAAGTAGATACATGAGACTAAATGGGTAGCTCCTGTCCGGAGGTGAGATAAGAAGGCAGAGAGGGTCAGGAGCTGGTTGAGTGGACACAGGAAATCAGGGGTGGAAAGGAGGAGTGTGCTGTCACGGTATAGGGAGAGCAATTAGGGTCACATAATAATGTGTGTATAAATTTTTGCATGATAGACTAACTTGAAATGTAAACTTTCACTTTAACTACAACAATTTAAAAAAAAAAAACAAGAAAACCCTATGGAGCACAGTTCTATCCTGACACACATGGGGTCACTATGAGTCAGAATCAACCAAACAATGACTGTCTACTTTTTCTTTTAAGGCAACACATAAAGAGGTGCAAACTTTACACATGACGAGCCAGAAGGTACAAAAGGCAACACGTGGGATATAATCAATCAAGGACAGGTTTTTGAAAAAGAGATGGCGAGGTTGAAAAGGTAAATTCAGAACTTTTACACAAAAGGAAGGAGCCCTGGTGGTGCAATGGTTAAGTCCTCAGCTGCTCACTTAAAATGTTGGTGGTTTGAACCCACCAGCTGCTGCTCAGGAGAAAGACGTGGCGGTCTGCTCCCATGGAGATTTCAGCCTAGAAAACTCTAGGGGAGCAGTTCTACTCTGTCCTGTAGGGTCTCTCCAACACACAATGACAACACGCGAAAGGAGACGAGGAAATGGAAGGTGAGACAATTCGTTCCAGCAGCCTCCGGAGATACACCTTTGAAACGCTACAGCCCAGCAAAACGCCTGGCCCACAGTAGATGCTCAACCAATATTTGCTAATTAAACAAATAAATGGATGATTTCCCTGATACGTATCTCCGTTTTCTCGTCTATAAAAATGCAACACCAACTGCCTTGAATTCCTTAATGCTGGCAAGTGTGTGCGCACCCCGCAACCAGCCAATTTCCCTGGAACATTCGAGACTCTCAGGATGATCCAGCGCGCACCTGAGGAGCCTCCAGTTCTAAGGTGATGCTCCTCCTCGCCCCCGTGCACCCACCTAAGGACGACGGCCCCCTGCCCACGCCCATGGCAGGGTCCTGTGTGCAAGCACTGCTCGCACGACCGCAGTGGAGGAATGGGGAGAAGAACCTTCTCCGACAGCAAAACCACAATTTCCTTCTTCAAGCTGTTACAACTACGCCCGATGCCCTATTTCTTTCGTCTCCCCACAGCCCTGAAAGTGGGGGGCAGGTACGCCTGCTTTGCCTTGTTGAACCACAGAATGGTCTCTGGGTAAAGCTGTAGGGGGAAGGGTGTACGACTTCAGGGACAAAGAGACAGGAAGCTGGTGGGAGTCGCTCCCTCAGGCCCTGGGATGTTGGAAGGGAAGACCCAGCCCCCTGCGGAGCTCAGGCCAGGGCCTGCTCAGGGCCATCCTACACACAAGCCTGGGCTCCCACAGAGTGGTTTGGGGCTTCTTGCAGTTGAGAAGCTCTTCACCCAGGGGAAAGCTTTTCATCCCAAAAGGAGCCTGGCATCTGGGGTATAGGTGTCTTTAAAAGAGAGTGAGAGACCCTTCCCCAGGTCAGCCTGATGTGCTCAGGCTGTGGGTCTGGCCGGCCAGGCCTGGGCAGGGTCTCTGCCCTCCAGCCTGGGTCAGGTGGGGGACTATTCCGCCCACTCCTTCAGTGTCCCAGTCCCGAAGCCCACCTCCTCAGTCCCCACCCGTCCCCGGTCATTCCTCTCCCTAAATGCCCAGATGCAAACCACCCCTCATTGTTCTCCAGGATCAGACCGTCCCCTCAGCTCCCAGGCCAGCCCTGACCCGGCCCCTCGGTCCTTCCCCTCAGCCTGGCCCGGTCCCGTCGGCCAGTCCCCCAGGTCCCCGCTCTCCGGCGTCCCTCCCCGCCCGCACCCAGCTGCCCGTGCCGCACGGGAACTCCTTCAGACACAACCGCCGCAGGTGCTCCCGGACCGCTGCGCTCACGGTCCCCGGGTGCGCCTGCATGTCCACGAGGCCGCGACGCCGAGCCGGTTGCTAGGCAGCCGGGGACGTGTGCGCGCCGTCGTCATGCAAGCGTGCGCGCCCGGGTGAGTTGCGTGCTCGAGGCCGGCGGAGGTGCGCGGCGGCCCGGGCGAGCCCTGAGTGTACGACTTTCACGATGTGCAAACCTGCCCTGGAGGAAAATGTGCTCTCGCTTATAAAAATGGAGGGCTAATGCCCTTGCCCCTGGCCACCCGACGGGAGGTTATAGCTGCTGTCGCTCCCCGCAGGTACCAAGCGCGCCGGTACACCAGCCTGTTAATATTGCTCCTCCCAGCCACCCTCGGGGGGCAGATCTGGGAAGGGACAATGAGCCCAAGGTCAAACAAGGGCAAGATTCCATCAGCGGATTCCACTGTAGACCTCTCCAACCCCGAGTCGGGCGATTTAATCGCTGCCACGGATATAACCGTCTTAGCACCAAGACCCAAGTCTAAAGGGCACTTAGACTGCTCCAACCTTATTCATCTTTCCGGCCCACACAGCATCTAACTCACTGCCGGCCAGTCGGGGCTTCTGGGCAGTGGTTTGTGAAATTCATTGGATGAGCTGATTCTGGGTCCTATGAATTGGAAATGAAACATCGTATTGAGATAAAATCTACATACCATAAAATTCACCCATTTAAAGTGTACAGTTCTGTGGTTTCCAATATATTCACAGTTCAAGTATATTCATAGTGCGGCTATCACTATAACCTAATTTTAGAACATTTTCATCACCCCAAAAAGAAACCCATTAGCAGTTACTCCGCATCTCCTCTCCTACCTACTCCCAGCCCCTAGCAACCACTAATCTGTTTTCTGTCTCTATGGATCTGACTATTCGGGATATTTCATATAAGCTAAATCATTACAATATGTATTCTTTTGTGATTGGCTTCCTTCACTTAGCATATTTTCAAGGTTCATCCATGTTGTAGCATGAATCAATACTTTGTTCCTTTTTATGGCTCGCTAATATTCCATTGTATGGAAAGAGCACATTTTTTTACCCATTTTTGGCCATTGTGAATAGTGTTGCTATGCACATTCATGTACAAGTTTTTGTGAGAACGTATGTTTTTATTTCTCTTGGGTAGACACCTAGAAGTGGAATGGCTGGGTCATACCATAACTGTATTTCACATTTTGAGGAACTGACTTTCACATTTTGGGAATAATGTTTCTCAAAGCTGGCAGAGGTATATTTTACAGTACAAATTCTATTAACCAGGATGCTTAAGGAGGAGATAGTGGGCCAGCATTAAGGTTAGTTGGTTAAAATGTCGCTGCAAATATTAACCATTTATTAAATATCCCCTATGGGTCAGGTGTGGTTTAAAATCAGGGAAGGTGTGTGTCAGGGTTGTATCCTTTCACCATACTTATTCAGTCTGTATGCTGAGCAAATATTCTGAGAAGCTGGACTATATGAAGAAGAACAAAGCATCAGGATTAGAGGAAGACTCATTAACAACCTGCAATGTGCAGATAACACAACCTTGCTTGCTGAAAGTGAAGAGGACTTGAAGCACTTAATGATGAAGATCAAAGACCACAGCCTTCAGTATGGATTACACCCCAACATAAAGACAACAAAAATCCTCATAACTGAAACAATAAGCAATATCATGATAAACGGAGAAAAGATTGAAATTGTCAAGAATTTCATTTTACTTGGATCCGCAATGAACACCCATGGAAGCAGCAGTCAGGGAATCTAACGACGTATTGCATTGGGCAAATCTGCTGCAAAAGACCTCTTTAAAGTGTTCAAAAGCAGAGATGTCACTCGGAGGACTAAGGTGTACCTGACCCAAGCCACAGTATTTTCAGTTGCCTCATATGCATGCGAAAGCTGAACAATGAATAAGGAAGACCAAAGAAGAATTGATGTCTTTGAATTATGGTGTTGGCAAAGAATACTGAATACACCATGGACTGCCAGAAGAACAAACAAATCTGTCTTGGAAGAAGTACAGCCAGAATGCTCCTTAGAAGTGAGGATGGTGAGACTTCATCTCACGTAGTTTGGACACGTTATCAGGAGGTACCAGACCAGTCCCTGGAGAAGGACATCATGCTTGGTAAAGTACAAGGTCAGAGAAAAAGAAGACGACTCTCAATGAGATGGATTGACACAGTGGCTGCAAAAATGAGCTCAAACACAGCAACAATTATGAGGATGGCATAGGCCCAGGTAGTGTTTTGTTCTGTTGTACGTAGGGTTCCTATGAGTCAGAACCGACTCGATGGCACATAACAACCATAACCACGTGGGTCAGGAGCTGATTGGGAAGTGAAAAATACTACAGACCCTACCTTCAGGGTACCTGCTGCCCAGAGACTCCAGAAAGCAGGGGCTAACCTGGAAAACTCCTTGTGGTTCCAGACCTTGCTAGAAATCCATGCTTGGTAAAGTATGGAAGCACATCGTCACTCTTGGAGACGTCGATGGAGTAAGAGATAAAGGCCTGAAGTTGCTTTTCAATGGAATCCCTGAAATCAGCTTGCTTTGCTTGCATTTGTCTCACAAGATTCTTTCTGTCCTTTCCTTCTGTTCTTTCTTGCCAAAAGTGGAGGGGTGATCAGCATCACCCCTCTTCTAGAACAAATGCTATGACTTCCCCAAGGGAAGCCAAGACTCCCCTGTGATGCAGTGAAAAAATGATGGGACAAGGGGAAGGCCGACTGCCTCCCACAGAGCTAAGGTAAAAATTTCCAACTCTCTTTTACTCAGCAGGAGACGGATATGGGTCTCCTACTGTATGCTAGACACTGTGCTAAGTTTGGGGAAACAGATGCCTTCCTCTTAAAAGTTTATTCATTACTGATGTATTTACTGAGCACCTACTATGCGGCAGGCACGATGTTGGGGAACACAGTGACTGTGACACATTTGGTCCCTGGCTTGGCCTTTCCACTGAGGGACACAGAGAAGCAATTACAAAGCAGTGATGTGTGAGGCTGGGAGGCACAGAAGAGGCACCTGATCTGGGTTAGGGGAGTATCAGGGAGGGCTTCCTGGAAGAAGAGGTTTCAAGCTGAGACCTAAGGAATGACTGTGAGCTATTCAAGTGAGGCAGGTAGGTGGAAGGATGATCCAGCAAAGCTTCAGGTGCCATGGGAGAAGCAGTGAGTTAATGGGCAAAAATAGAACCATGAAACAGAATAAAAAACCCAGAAGACCTACCGGACTGGCTGAGACTGGAGGACTCCCTGAGACTATTGCCCTGAGATCCTCTTCAAACCTTGAACGGAAAATAACCCCTGAGGTCACCGCGTAGCTAAATAACAAATTGGTTCAAAAAATAATGAATATCACCTGTAAGTACTGTGCTCCTTTAAAAAAATCACCTATATAAGACCAAACGGTCAACAATTACTTTAAAACAAAGATGAGAAGGTAAGGAGGCAGGGAAACTGGATTAATGGAAACGGAACAACCAGAACAGAAACAATGAGAATGTTCATGCGTGAAGAATGTAACCAATGTCACTGAACAATTTGTGTAGACATTGTTGAATGGAAGCCCAAACTGCTGTGTAAACCTTCACCAAAAGTACAATAAAATACTAAAAAAAAAAGAGCCGTGACGGCATTGTGATTTTCAAAGGGTAGAGTTAGACATAGACATGTGTGCACAGGCGTATATGGATAGTTGATAAAACTGTAAGAGAACACAAGACCTTGTGGAATTTTAGAAGTTTGTGCAGAGTTCTGCAGGGCAGTGGAGAGCGTCAAAAATGTCTCCTCCACGACGAACCAAACAAAATATTCTCCCTCTCCCCCATCTCGTCCCCTTTCAATCCATCCACCAATGTGCAGCCTGAAAGATTTGTTTAAACGGAGGTCATTCTTGGACTCTGTCCATCTTAGACATCTCAGCCAGTAGTGTGTTTGGAAGGACGTTCTCATCCCAGGTGGCCAAACAGTAGTCCCTCCTCCCAGGAGAAGGCACGGTCTACCCCTTCCAATCAACCCTCCCCTGGGGGACAACGGTATCAAGGCTTCGGTTCTGTCGACTTCCAGATCCTCTAACCGCCAAACTTTTCAACAGCAGCTGCACCATTTTATCTGTGCACCAGCAATGCACAAGGGCTCCAATTTCTCTACATCCTTGAAAACGCATATTATGTTTCAGGTTTTTTATGATAGCCATCCTAGTGGGTGTCAGTGGTATCTCACGGTAGTTTTGATTTGCATTTCCCTAATGACTAATGATGTCGAGCATCTTTTCATGTGCTTTTTGACCATTTGTATATCTTCTTTGGAGAAATGTCTATTCAAATCCTTTGCCATTTTCAAACTGGGTTGTCTTTTTATTATTGAGTTGTAAGAGTTCTTTATATATTCTAGATACTAGCCCTTACCAGCCCTTGCAAATATTTTCTCCATTTCTTTGGGTTGTCTTTTCACATTTTTTTTTCTTTTCATTTTCTTGATAAACACTTGATGCACAGAAATGTTTAATTTTGATGAAGTCCAGTTTATCAAATTTTTCTTTGGTCGCTTGTGCTTCTGGTGACATATTTAAGAAACCATTGTCAAATCTGTAACATTGAGTTTTGAGAGTTCTCTGTACATTCTGCTTACAAGTCCTTCGTCAGATATGGGATTTGCAAATATTTTTCTCCCAGTCTGGGCTTGTCTTTTCATTCTCTTAACAGTGTCTTTAGAAGTTTTTAATTTTGAGGAGGTCCAGTTTATTGGTATTTTTCATTTCTGGATTGTGCTTGTGATGTTCCATCTAAGAAATCTTTGCCTAATACAAGACACAAGGTCATAAAGATCTTCTGTTATATTTTCTTCTAGAAGTTTTATAGTTTTAGGTTTTACATTTACATACATGATTCATTTTGAGTTACTTTTATATATGTTGTGACCAAAAGTTATTTATTTTTCTTCTTATATATGAATATGCAATTGTTCTAGTATCATTTGTTGAAAAGACTATGCTTTCTCCACTAAATTGCCTTTGTA